AAAAGCTATTGCGAACAATTTTTAAAATTCAATGGGGTTGTAATACTAATATTATAGTTATACATTTTTATAAAATTGTGATAGTAATTAATAATAGTATTGTTAAAATAGTTCAATATAATGTATATTGTATAAGGCCACATTTAAAATAATATTGCATCAAGATTCAAACAGCAAGGATGACTCAATTGACCCTGGTGGTTGTTAGCATTATTTCCTTTGCCTACGCTGGGACGTACACAGGTAATAGTAATATCACCATTTCATATCACTCCTTTAATAGAGGTTGTAGTAGATCGCTAAACGGCAAAACCAACAAAAATACATCATGTTATTAAATTAATTATAAACATGACCTGAATTATTTTTATTTTCATATTAGCGAGTTTTCTTGACAAGCTGAATATTAAGTGCATATAGATATTCATATAGAAAAAATAGTTAATGAGTGCATTTCAGATGATTTCCTGGAAGTGTCCAGTGAGGACGGTTGGTCCTCCGGTAAACCAAGCTCGAGCGGAGATGTCCCGCTAGTATTCGAAACACATTCTTTACAAATTGCTGCAAAATATGAAGGACAAATCTATATCGAAATAAAAAGCGGATCAGCGGAGCATGGTGGTGAAAATAAGTATGCCTAAGGAAGGCATCACAGTTAAAATTGACTTGATGTATTGCTCATCTGCTTTTACTGATGATACATTTGACATATCAGAAGAGTTTGCACAAAAAGTCAATTTGGTTTGGACGATCACAAGAACAGAAGAAAAAGAATTGGTCTTTATGTGTCAAGACATGGAAGTGTACAGGTTCGACATGGTGGATAACTGCGATGCAGTGTCGTGGAAAGGCGCTTGGTTTAATTTTCCAACCGCTGTAAAGTTTTACGACAGCGACTCGGCGACTGAAGCAGCCCGAGGAATAATCATGGGTAAGTCATATAAGTGTCAATTAAACTTTCGATGATAAAATTCCTATTTTAATGCTACTGGATGCTTTCAATTAGATTCGTTTTTAGTATAAGCGATAAACCTAATAGGTAATATAATGGCTACGGCTAGTTGAGGTTCTTTTGAAATGGAAATTTGCAGTATCTACTGCAACCACGTATTTACTGCAACCACGTCACAAATTCAAATTTTCAGCCGACTTTGAAAGTGGAAGTTCAGGAGAAGGTGAAGGAGAAGGAGAAGGAGAAGGAGAAGGAGAAGGAGAAGGAGAAGGAGAAGGAGAAGGAGAAGGAGAAGGAGAAGGAGAAGGAGAAGGAGAAGGAGAAGGAGAAGGAGAAGGAGAAGGAGAAGGAGAAGGAGAAGGAGAAGGAGAAGGAGAAGGAGAAGGAGAAGGAGAAGGAGAAGGAGAAGGAGAAGGAGAAGGAGAAGGAGAAGGAGAAGGAGAAGGAGAAGGAGAAGGAGAAGGAGAAGGAGAAGGAGAAGGAGAAGGAGAAGGAGAAGGAGAAGGAGAAGGAGAAGGAGAAGGAGAAGGAGAAGGAGAAGGAGAAGGAGAAGGAGAAGGAGAAGGAGAAGGAGAAGGAGAAGGAGAAGGAGAAGGAGAAGGAGAAGGAGAAGGAGAAGGAGAAGGAGAAGGAGAAGGAGAAGGAGAAGGAGAAGGAGAAGGAGAAGGAGAAGGAGAAGGAGAAGGAGAAGGAGAAGGAGAAGGAGAAGGAGAAGGAGAAGGAGAAGGAGAAGGAGAAGGAGAAGGAGAAGGAGAAGGAGAAGGAGAAGGAGAAGGAGAAGGAGAAGGAGAAGGAGAAGGAGAAGGAGAAGGAGAAGGAGAAGGAGAAGGAGAAGGAGAAGGAGAAGGAGAAGGAGAAGGAGAAGGAGAAGGAGAAGGAGAAGGAGAAGGAGAAGGAGAAGGAGAAGGAGAAGGAGAAGGAGAAGGAGAAGGAGAAGGAGAAGGAGAAGGAGAAGGAGAAGGAGAAGGAGAAGGAGAAGGAGAAGGAGAAGGAGAAGGAGAAGGAGAAGGAGAAGGAGAAGGAGAAGGAGAAGGAGAAGGAGAAGGAGAAGGAGAAGGAGAAGGAGAAGGAGAAGGAGAAGGAGAAGGAGAAGGAGAAGGAGAAGGAGAAGGAGAAGGAGAAGGAGAAAACTCTGGAGAAGGTGAACACTCTGGAGAAGGTGAACACTCTGGAGAAGGCGGTGACATGAACTGGGAAAGTAGCGCTAATGTTTTCCCGATGTATTTTTGTCTTGTTGCTGCCTTTGTTGGATACATGCTCTTTTAGTGAGACTTATTTTCGAATCATAATAGAATGATAAAAACATTTTGATTTTCGTATTTGCATGTGTTATACTTATATCTATAATAGTTGTTAATAGGGGATGATGAAACACTCTACACTCGATCGACTGTCACGTGACTTTTTCAACCTTTTCTCTAGCTGGCTCTGCATGAACAACTATTCAAAACCCTAACCGGAACCCTCTAATCTGATCCCAACCCTAACTGAAACGATCTCTAAACCTTAGTTTTATTTTGGGATATAGTTTGATATTAAAAAGAACAGCATTTTACAAAATTTAAAGTATATTATATATTATTCATTATGATAAATAAGACTATTATTTTAAGCAAAAAATACGCATGTATATATGGTTGCGGCCAAGGATCGAATGTCATTTAAAAAATAATTTTTACTATTTAAATTATGCAGTATGACCACCATACTGCATACGTACATGTATTAAGAATAAGTCCTGAAAAATACGCGTATTTTTTTCAAAATATTTAACAAGACTTAATTATCTTTTTATAGTCTTTAAATAAAGTGACATGTTAAAATTAAATATAAGGACAAAAGAGCAAGGTAGACGAGGCGGAAACAATGATTGACACGGTATGGGACCATTCACATAATTACGTAATCACTTTTCGGTATATTTTTAACACCCTCCCCGGCCCTCCGTAATCAGTTTTACACATACTTATAGTTATATATAATAGATGTAACCCCCTCCCCGGCCTTCGGCTGATTACGTAATAATATGTGAACCGGGGGGGGGGGGGGGGGGGGGGGGGGTCTGGCAAATGCTGACGTCATTAGGGGGGAGGACGGTCGCTCAATGGTGACAGTTTCTGCCAGGGGGGGGGGGGGGTAAAATTGGCCAAAATCTTGCTGACGTCATATTAGAAATTAGAAATTAGAAATTAGAGATTAGAAATTAGAAATTAGAAATTAGAAATTAGAAATTAGAAAACAAGTTGTTTCAATACTGATGTATAACTGCAACAGTTGGGCAACATCTAAACAACTCCTTCAAAAACTTGATGTCTGCCACAGGAATCATCTCCGTACGATCATCGGCATGACCTACCCTAATGTCATACGAAATGTGACTCTATACAAACGCTGCGAAGTTGTTTCACTAAGTGAGCGTGTTGCTCGTGCACGGTGGAGAATGCTCGGTCACATCCTTGATCCTCCGCAGTGATAATAACTCACCTGCCCAGCTTGCCTTACATTTTGCTGTAGAGAGTCTGCAGAGTTTGATGAGAGGTAGATTCGGACGACACCAGTCAAACTTGTTAAAAACTATTTTGAACGATTTAAGTGACAGAAAATTTAGACTTGTAAATACAGCATACAGACGATTTATACCATTTAAGACTTTTTGCAACAAATACTAATACTAATAGAAAAGCATGGAGAGAGTTAAGCATGATTTAGTTTATTCTGTGTTTATTTTTCTCTTGGTGACTTATCAGGTCATCAATATGTTCTTTATGTTCTACAACCTACCAGGACGCGCGCCGAGTTGGACTTACTTGGGGACCTCAGGCTATTATGTTCATAAATCATAAATATAGAACATGAACAGAGATTCAGCGGAATGACAGGCTGAGCGCGGCCCGGTAAAGTTGGACTCGTATATTGTATATGGAACAAATATTTTACGAGTATCACCCGTTAATTAGAAATTAGAAAGATCATTACAAAATTACTTGTAGCGCGATGCACTACTGGGTCGCGCGCGCATCAAATAATGCTTCTCGCAACCACGTATGCAGATCGGCGAGATGCGAAGGATTGACATCGTGAATCAAATGACAAGTGAATGCTTGTAGGTTTACAACCTACTAGGACGCGCGCCGAGTTGGACAATGTATGGAACAGATATTTTACGAGTATCACCTGTTAAGTGAATGCTAGTCACGTGCGCTCTAACAGCCAATGAGCATTCGTACTTTTTTTCAGAGCGATGGAGGTCGTAATTCACTCAGCCCGAATAAAGATTCGGCGAAATGACAGGCTGAGGCCTGAGCGCCGACCAATAACCTCAGCCATGTGATACATCGGGTTTTTTGTGATTGGGTAGAGATATCATGTATGGTTCTAATCAAAAGCTGCTTTTGACTTTGTTGTAGAATGCAAGCTTTTTGTTTTCAAGTCGAGCTTTTTCGAAATATTGTCAAATTGTTATCAGTTATTATTCTAGAAGGTAAAAAGAAAATGTTGATTACGTAATCGCAACGACAAACAATCCCTCCCCTCGGCCGATCCCCGCAATCAACCGTAAGCATTTGGAAAATGGAAACCCCCTCGGCTGATTACTTGATTCACGATGTCAATCCTTCGCAGCTCGGTGAGGCACAGTGGTGCATCTTGCCGATCTACCGAAGTGGTTGCGAGAAGAATTATTTGATGCGCGGCGTGACCCAGTAGTGCATCGCGCTACAAAACTCTGTCATATTGACCAACTGCTTAAATCGCAGTCACACACTAATTTTCCCGGCGCTACTAATTCACTCGCCATCAATTTCACAAAAAGAGCCATATTTGAATTTCGCATTGGATAAGCGTCTAAGTAAACCGCGTGGCGCGTGTCTGCGATAAATCTTTTCTTGTCAAATCGATATCTTCTCTTATTCGATACAAATTTTAACTAGTGATTTTCTGATACTCCACGAACATCTATGACTGTTGCTTCTGTTCCCGAAAGGTTGAGTTAAGCTTTCAATCCTTTGTTTATTTTTTTGTTCAATTTGTAAGGTTAAAACTCTTTCAGGTCCGATTTCCGAATAGTCTGGTGTCCAAAAGAACTCCAATTGTTCAAGGAGTTAAATTTATTCGGTGTGGGAAAACAGGTCAGTGCTAATTGCTGATCACCTGTCATTTGATTTGTCATGTCATAAAGTCATACGCTTCTTTTCCTTTTTGCATGGTTTTAATGCCAGCTTGATTACAATTGTCATCTGTCATCTGTCATTTGATTTTTCATTAAGTCATACGCTTCTTTCACTTTATCTATAGTTTTAATGCCAGCTGTAATACATATATCCAAGCAAGCAAAATTAATGATTTATAAACTTTTCTTTGTGGCACTTTTCGATGCATGGTACTGTTCATCTCGTTTGCAAGTATTATATGTGTATGTTTGTAGTGGTTTTAATGTCAGAAGAACACATATAATATTAACCTTGAAAGCTTGAAGCAAGCAAGATTATTCATTTTTCATTTTGGAGGCTACTATTTAATTAATTGGCCCCTTAAATGGGGACAATTAGATTTAAATATCATTAAGTAATCAGTACATCTAGTATTCTAGTTCCTTTTATTAAACAATTCAATAATTTCCAGTAGATAGGGACAATTAGATTAAAAGATCATTAAGTAATCAGTACATCTAGTTCCTTCTATTTAATAGTTTAATGATTTCTACTAGATAGGGACAATTAGATTTAGAGATCATTATAAGTAATCAGTTATACATCTATACTAGTTCCTTTTATTTTAAAATTCAATAATTTCCAGTAGATGGGGACAATTATGTATTTTAGAGATCATTGAGTAATCAGTACATCTAGTTCCTTTTAGTTAACAATTCAATAATTTCCAGTAGATGGGGACAATTAGATTTAGAGATCATTAAGTAATCAGTACATCTAGTTCCTTCTATTTAATAGTTAAATGATTTCCAGTAGATGGGGACAACTAGATTTAGAGATCATTAAGTAATCAGTACATCTAGTTCCTTCTATTTAATAATTTAATGATTTCCAGTAGATGGGGACAATTAGATTTAGAGATCATTAAGTTATCAGTACATCTAGTTCTTTCTATTTAATAGTTTAATTAATGATTTCTCATTTCCAGTAGAATAAAACAAATATTCAGAATAAAACAAATATTAAATATTCTAATCTCTTTATTCAACAATATAAAATCATTATAGAACCTAATTTGTGGCTTGATCGTTATGTTAGGGCTATTCTGTTAGCTGATGCTGACAGGCACCACATGGGGCAGAGACTTAGGACCATTACGCTGGAGGCTTACAATGACCCTTTTTGAACCCCATGGCAGTGCTAGTTTTATTATGGTACAAATTGTAAATCGAAGTTATGAAAACGATCAAGTCACTCCTGTTTTACACTATCAACAGCTACTTAAAAAAATCTAGATTGTACAACTCACTTTGAAGATTAAACTGTTAAGTAATGAGTGATTGAGCTCATTAAACATTTTAGTAGCGGAGACATGCGGATCAGCTTCTTGAGGTTCTAATAGTTCATTCAGACAAGAAGTTTTACTTTTTCAAATTTAGTCGTTCAAGCTGCACCTGAGTTCAGATAGGGACAATTCGATTTAAAGATCAGGGACAATTTGATTTAGAGATCATTAAGTAATCAGTACATCTAGTTCCTTCTATTTGATAATTTAATGATTTCCAGTAGATGGGGACAATTAGATTTAGAGATCATTAAGTTATCAGTACATCTAGTTCCTTTTATTTAACAATTCAATAATTTCCAGTAGATGGGGACAATTAGATTAAAATATCATTTAGTAATCAGTACATCTAGTTCCTTCTAATTAATAGTTTAATGATTTCCAGTAGATGGGGACAATTAGATTTAGAGATCAGTACATCTAGTTCCTTCTATTTAATAGTTTAATGATTTTTACTAGATAGAGACAATTAGATTTAGAGATCATTATAAGTAATCAGTACATCTATAAGTTCCTTTTATTTAAAAATTCAATAATTTCCAGTAGATGGGGACAATTATATTTAGAGATCATTGAGTAATCAGTACATCTAGTTCCTTCTATTTCATAATTTAATGATTTCCAGTAGATGGGGACAATTAGATTTAAAGATCATTAAGCAATCAGTACATCTAGTTCCTTCTATTTAACAATTCAATAATTTCCAGTAGATGGGGAAAAATAAGATTAGAGATCATTAAGTAATCAGTACATCTAGTTCCTTCTTTTTAATAATTTCCAGTAGATAGGGACAATTAGATTTAAAGATCATTAAGTAATCAGTACATCTAGTTCCTTCTTTTTAATAATTTCCAGTAGATAGGGACAATTAGATTTAAAGATCATTAAGTAATCACTTTTTAATGGTTTAATGATTTCCAGTAGATGGGGACAATTATATTTAAAGATCATTGAGTATAAGCAATCAGTACATCTAGTTCCTTCTATTTAACAATTCAATAATTTCCAGTAGATGGGGAAAATAAGATTAGAGATCATTAAGTAATCAGTACATCTAGTTCCTTCTATTTAATAGTTTAATAATTTCCAGTAGATGGGGACAATTATATTTAAAGATCATTGAGTATAAGCAATCAGTACATCTAGTTCCTTCTATTTAACAATTCAATAATTTCCAGTAGATGGGGAAAATAAGATTAGAGATCATTAAGTAATCAGTACATCTAGTTCCTTCTATTTAATAGTTTAATAATTTCCAGTAGATGGGGACAATTAGATTTAAAGATCATTAAGTAATCAGTACATCTAGTTCCTTCTATTTAACAATTCAATAATTTCCAGTAGATGGGGACAATAAGATTTAAAGATCATTAAGTAATCAGTACATCTAGTTCCTTCTATTTAACAATTCAATAATTTCCAGTAGATAGGGACAATTAGATTTAAAGATCATCAAGTAATCACTTTTTAATAGTTTAATGATTTCCAGTAGATGGGGACAATTAGATTTAGAGATCATTGAGTATAAGTAATCAGTACATCTAGTTCTTTCTATTTAATAATTTAATAATTTCCAGTAGATAGGGACAATTAGATTTAAAGATCATTAAGTAATCAGTACATCTAGTTCCTTCTTTTTAATAATTTCCAGTAGATAGGGACAATTAGATTTAAGGGGGGGGGCCAATGGGTATTTTTTTGTGAAACTTGATTTCGAGATAGCAGTTGACCAACAAACTAGGACCAGTGACCGAACTTTTGAGGGGGTCCCGGACCCCAACCGCCAAACGGTGCGCGCAGGGCAGCCACGCCCATATTTGGTCCAAATTAGGCCCAATTTAGCCAAATACCCTGTACATGCCCCAAACCCAGGTTTATGGTGCTCTACTTGTAGCTAGTGGTCTCCTGAACTCGTACATGAAATTTCATCAAGATTGGACAAAAAATGACTGAGTTATGAGCCAAAAACCATATGCCCATATTTGGGCATACGCACCAAATTTGGTAGATTTCGTCCCATAAATTGGTCAAATATCAATATTTTTGAATGAAACTTACTTTATATGAAAGGTAAGCCTAAACTACATATTCTCTGTAATTTATAGCTTTATATCTGTTTAAATGTGGATACTAAGGCGAAAAAACCACAAAAAATGAACTAAATTGCCCATATCTCGGTTCGCGATATTCGCGGAATTGATCTCACCAAAATTGTAACAACTCAATCAGTTTTCAAAATTTTTGCATGAAATTTTTGGAATCGACTCGAAATCGCATTTCGACCTTATTTTAAGAACGGATTTTTGATTTAGGCCTCAAAAAAAATTTGGCGGCCAAATTCCAAAATTATATTACAGAAATTCAGAATTTGGCCGCCAAATTTTTTTTGAGGCCTAAATCAAAAATCCGTTCTTAAAATAAGGTCGAAATGCGATTTCGAGTCGATTTCAAAAATTTCATGCAAAAATTTTGAAAACTGATTGAGTTGTTACAATTTTGGTGAGATCAATTCCGCGAATATCGCGAACCGAGATATGGGCAATTTAGTTCATTTTTTGTGGTTTTTTCGCCTTAGTATCCACATTTAAACAGATATAAAGCTATAACTTACAGAGAATATGTAGTTTAGGCTTACCTTTCATATAAAGTAAGTCTCATCCAAAAATATTGATATTTGACCAATTTATGGGACGAAATCTACCAAATTTGGTGCGTATGCCCAAATATGGGCATATGGTTTTTGGCTCATAACTCAGTCATTTTTTGTCCAATCTTGATGAAATTTCATATACGAGTTCAGGAGACCACTAGCTACAAGTAGAGCACCATAAACCTGGGTTTTGGGCATGTTCAGGGTATTTGGCTAAATTGGGCCTAATTTGGACCAAATATGGGCGTGGCTGCCCTGCGCGCACCGTTTGGCGGTTGGGGTCCGGGACCCCCTCAAAAGTTCGGTCACTGGTCCTAGTTTGTTGGTCAACTACTATCTCGAAATCAAGTTTCACAAAAAAATACCCATTGACCCCCCCCCCCCTTAAAGATCATTAAGTAATCACTTTTTAATGGTTTAATGATTTCCAGTAGATGGGGACAATTATATTTAAAGATCATTGAGTATAAGCAATCAGTACATCTAGTTCCTTCTATTTAACAATTCAATAATTTCCAGTAGATGGGGAAAATAAGATTAGAGATCATTAAGTAATCAGTACATCTAGTTCCTTCTATTTAATAGTTTAATAATTTCCAGTAGATGGGGACAATTAGATTTAAAGATCATTAAGTAATCAGTACATCTAGTTCCTTCTATTTAACAATTCAATAATTTCCAGTAGATGGGGACAATAAGATTTAAAGATCATTAAGTAATCAGTACATCTAGTTCCTTCTATTTAACAATTCAATAATTTCCAGTAGATGGGGACAATAAGATTTAAAGATCATTAAGTAATCAGTACATTTAGTTCCTTCTATTTAATAATTTAATAATTTCCAGTAGATAGGGACAATTAGATTTAAAGATCATCAAGTAATCACTTTTTAATAGTTTAATGATTTCCAGTAGATGGGGACAATTAGATTTAAAGATCATTAAGTAATCAGAACATCTAGTTCCTTCTATTTAATAATTTCCAGTAGATAGGGACAATTAGATTTAAAGATCATTAAGTAATCACTTTTTAATAGTTTAATGATTTCCAGTAGATGGGGACAATTAGATTTAAAGATCATTAAGTTATCAGTACATCTAGTTCCTTCTATTTAATAGTTTAATGATCTCCAGTAGATGGGGACAATTAGATTTAAAGATCATTAAGTAATCACTACATCTAGTTCTTTCCATTTAATAATTTAATGATTTCCTGTAGATGGGGACAATTAGATTTAAATATCATTAAGTAATCAGTACATCTAGTATTCTAGTTCCTTTTATTTAACAATTCAATAATTTCCAGTAGATAGGGACAATTAGATTAAAAGATCATTAAGTAATCAGTACATCTAGTTCCTTCTTTTTAATAATTTCCAGTAGATGGGGACAATTAGATTTAAAGATCATTAAGTAATCACTTTTTAATAGTTTAATGATTTCCAGTAGATGGGGACAATTAGATTTAGAGATCATTAAGTTATCAGTACATCTAGTTCCTTTTATTTAACAATTCAATAATTTCCAGTAGATGGGGACAATTAGATTTAAAGATCATTAAGTAATCACTTTTTAATAGTTTAATGATTTCCAGTAGATGGGGACAATTAGATTTAGAGATCATTGAGTATAAGTAATCAGTACATCTAGTTCTTTCTATTTAATAATTTAATAATTTCCAGTAGATAGGGACAATTAGATTTAAAGATCATTAAGTAATCAGTACATCTAGTTCCTTCTTTTTAATAATTTCCAGTAGATAGGGACAATTAGATTTAAAGATCATTAAGTAATCACTTTTTAATGGTTTAATGATTTCCAGTAGATGGGGACAATTATATTTAAAGATCATTGAGTATAAGCAATCAGTACATCTAGTTCCTTCTATTTAACAATTCAATAATTTCCAGTAGATGGGGAAAATAAGATTAGAGATCATTAAGTAATCAGTACATCTAGTTCCTTCTATTTAATAGTTTAATAATTTCCAGTAGATGGGGACAATTAGATTTAAAGATCATTAAGTAATCAGTACATCTAGTTCCTTCTATTTAACAATTCAATAATTTCCAGTAGATGGGGACAATAAGATTTAAAGATCATTAAGTAATCAGTACATCTAGTTCCTTCTATTTAACAATTCAATAATTTCCAGTAGATGGGGACAATAAGATTTAAAGATCATTAAGTAATCAGTACATTTAGTTCCTTCTATTTAATAATTTAATAATTTCCAGTAGATAGGGACAATTAGATTTAAAGATCATCAAGTAATCACTTTTTAATAGTTTAATGATTTCCAGTAGATGGGGACAATTAGATTTAAAGATCATTAAGTAATCAGAACATCTAGTTCCTTCTATTTAATAATTTCCAGTAGATAGGGACAATTAGATTTAAAGATCATTAAGTAATCACTTTTTAATAGTTTAATGATTTCCAGTAGATGGGGACAATTAGATTAAAAGATCATTAAGTTATCAGTACATCTAGTTCCTTCTATTTAATAGTTTAATGATCTCCAGTAGATGGGGACAATTAGATTTAAAGATCATTAAGTAATCACTACATCTAGTTCTTTCCATTTAATAATTTAATGATTTCCTGTAGATGGGGACAATTAGATTTAAATATCATTAAGTAATCAGTACATCTAGTATTCTAGTTCCTTTTATTTAACAATTCAATAATTTCCAGTAGATAGGGACAATTAGATTAAAAGATCATTAAGTAATCAGTACATCTAGTTCCTTCTTTTTAATAATTTCCAGTAGATGGGGACAATTAGATTTAAAGATCATTAAGTAATCACTTTTTAATAGTTTAATGATTTCCAGTAGATGGGGACAATTAGATTTAGAGATCATTAAGTTATCAGTACATCTAGTTCCTTTTATTTAACAATTCAATAATTTCCAGTAGATGGGGACAATTAGATTTAAAGATCATTAAGTAATCACTTTTTAATAGTTTAATGATTTCCAGTAGATGGGGACAATTAGATTTAGAGATCATTAAGTTATCAGTACATCTAGTTCCTTTTATTTAACAATTCAATAATTTCCAGTAGATGGGGACAATTAGATTTAAATATCATTAAGTAATCAGTACATCTAGTATTCTAGTTCCTTTTATTTAACAATTCAATAATTTCCAGTAGATAGGGACAATTAGATTTAAAGATCATTAAGTAATCACTTTTTAATAGTTTAATGATTTCTAGTAGATGGGGACAATTAGATTTAGAAATCATTGAGTATAAGTAATCAGTACATCTAGTTCTTTCTATTTAATGATTTAATAATTTCCAGTAGATAGGGACAATTAGATTTAAAGATCATTAAGTAATCAGTACATCTAGTTCCTTCTATTTAATAATTTCCAGTAGATAGGGACAATTAGATTTAAAGATCATTAAGAAATCAGTACATATAGTTCCTTCTATTTAATAATTTCCAGTAGATAGGGACAATTAGATTTAAAGATCATTAAGAAATCAGTACATCTAGTTCCTTCTATTTAATAATTTCCAGTAGATAAAGACAATTAGATTTAAAGATCATTAAGTAATCACTACATCTAGTTCTTTCTATTTAATAATTTAATGATTTCCTGTAGATGGGGACAATTCGATTCAGAGTTGCTTCTATTTAAAAATTGAATAATTTCTTGTAGATTATATATAGGGACAGTTATAGATTAAGTAATCAGTACATCTAGTTCCTTCTATTTAACAATTTGATATTGTAAAATTTGTATTGCAGTATGATCTGTATTAGTTACTTATTGTATGTGTTGTACAATGTACATTGTACAATATATTCCTGTTTTTCAGAATATATATTGTATGATATTTAGGTCGATTAATTCAGTATCGCTCTATAACATTGCAGTTGAGTTGAGTCACCTTATAATTTAGTATACGATTTTGGAGTTCCGTTTCTGAGTTTGTTTTATTTCAGCTGTTATAAGCGAACCTAATATTTATGTGAGCCAGTTAATACTTCTATTTTAATGTGATTTAATCCACTGTGTACTTACTACTAATGTATCAACAACAACAAAAAGCTAGCCTTTAAACCCACTTAAATTTCACTTCTAAACTGTGTCCATCTCTCATACGTTCCATATGTTTGGTGTATACTTTTATGAATGTGTAATATGGGATACCATTATACCTTCTCAACATTGAATCTTATAAATTAATATTAATTTTCTTTGGCGTGTGTTTCTTTAATAGTTCAGACAAATGTATTGGTATCAGTATTTATATCAGTACTGTTGAAGGTTAACAGTATATATTTACATTATGAGTCATAATTTATGACCATTGTCAGTAACACGTCTATCCATTAAATGGTGTCAAGAAACAAAAATGAATGTGGTTCCTGCTATTTGTTGATTAAGCCAATATATTTATTATAGCTGCTGGAAGGTAAAAGCTTGGACCGAAATGCTGAATATAATTAATCTTGTAGTAGCTGTGTCCTTGCGATTTAACATACTTATTACTTATGCTAACATTTTTCTCAGCTTGAGGTGGCTACTCGATGAGGGCTTTCGAGAAGTGAAAGATGGTGCACTACAGTATCAGATAAAGAAACATGACCAGAAGGAAAGAATGTTCACATACATTAAGCAGAAAATAGAAACGTTCACTGAAACCGCTTTTTATGTCAAAGGAAGTGGGGTATGTTTTCTATTTTATCTCGAACAAGTTGTATCTTCGTACAATAAAATATATGTTTATATTCTTATGGGAATGGACAGTTTTGTATGGTTCACCTTTTTTCAGTACTATCTATTCATGAAATGGAACATGATACTGATTTCAAAACTTATGGACTGTATCTGTATATTTATATAAGTAACTCGAAGCCAGGGAGTAAGATTTATTCACACTGCTACAATCTACATGAAAACATAAAAACATAATTACATAATACATGACAACATAATAGATTTCGATTACGTACTAAACTGTGGCTTTTTTCAGGCCAGAACCTCCAAACCAAAAACTTATACAAAATGTATAAAAAGGTCGGGAGTTACAGCTGCCACATGGGAGCACAAAGGTCGGTATTTTCGGATCAGAGAACGAAAAAGGTAAGCAACTATTGTTCAAACATTAACGATTACGCTATGTAGTTAAAACAATAAATGATAGTTAAAACAATTAATTGTTTTTAGTTTTGTCTGTTCAACAACATAGATTTAAATATTGCTGGTTTTTAATACAGACTTAAAGCCGTCTATCAAGGTAACACGACTCCTGTCCGACAGCGACATCTGTCCGACAGCGACATCTGTCCGAATCAGGGTACCAGAAAAAAACGACATCTGTCCGAAATTGTGACCTGATTTCAATACGACACATTTGCAATTAGAGACATGATCTAAACTGTTACTTGCTAAATTGTCGCCAAAAACGACTCCTGTCCGACAGCGACATCTGTCCGAAATCCCAAATTCAGCTGTCGGACAGATGTCGCTGTCGGACAGATGTCGCCCAATCGTCTATCAAATACTTCACTTCATCAAATTGATATGTATCTATACTGATACATTGCAACTTTTTTAGGTCAAGAATCAAGATATTCATATTTCTATTTTCCAATAAATAGGTTCAATTGCCGGGCTGATGAAAGAATAACAAGACAGCCCCGTGTTAAAGTGTGTCGGGGGTCGGATTTACCCAACAAGACCATAAAGACTGGTTGTCAAGCCTACATCCAAGTGAGTTTTTCCAAAACCGTGTCCAAGTATCTTGTTGAAACCAGATAGCCAGTGATATGTTTTGATTTTTAGATCTGCTGTTTTTCATTTGTCATGCTGTATATTGTTCTTTTGGAGACTGCAAAACTAACTCCCAGGACCTAGTTTGTCTGGTCTATGTTTTCTAAATATTTCTACTTATTCTTGAATAATCAAGCACGTCCTTAAATGTATATAAAGTTTAATACATGAAATGCGTATACATAGAATAAACTCTTCCCAGTGCTATGTGTTCGATGTTCTTGATGTGAAGTACAACTCTTACACCCAATCGGAGTTGAAAGATGTGGGACTTGACTGTTTGGCTCTAAATGCCGATGAAATGTTTGGAATCTTTTTCAGCTTCCACCACGAAACCCACGAAAATTGGTAAGCCCCCTCCCTCCCCCCCTCCCTCCCTCCCTCCCTTTCATCCTCCCTCACACCCTCCCTCCCTCCCTCCCTCCCTCCCTCCCTCCCTCCCTCCCTCCCTCCCTCCCTCCCTCCCTCCCTCCCTCCCTCCCTCCCTCCCTCCCTCCCTCCCTCCCTCCCTCCCTCCCTCCCTCCCTCCCTCCCTCCCTCCCTCCCTCCCTCCCTCCCTCCCTCCCTCCCTCCCTCCCTCCCTCCCTCCCTCCCTCCCTCCCTCCCTCCCTCCCTCCCTCCCTCCCTCCCTCCCTCCCTCCCTCCCTCCCTCCCTCCCTCCCTCCCTCCCTCCCTCCCTCCCTCCCTCCCTCCCTCCCTCCCTCCCTCCCTCCCTCCCTCCCTCCCTCCCTCCCTCCCTCCCTCCCTCCCTTTCATCCTCCCTCCCTCTCCTCCCTCACATCCTCCCTCCCTCCCTTTCATCCTCCCTCCCTCCCTCCCTCCTCCCTCCCTCCCTCCCTCCTCCCTCCCTCCCTCCCTCCCTCCCTCCCTCCCTCCCTCCCTCCCTCCCTCCCTCCCTCCTCCCTCCCTCCCTCCCTCCCTCCCTCCCTCCCTTTCATCCTCCCTCCCTCCCTCCCTTTCATCCTCCCTCACACCCTCCCTCCCTCCCTCCCTCCCTCCCTCCCTCCTCCCTCCCTCCCTCCCTCCCTCCTCCCTCCCTCCCTCCCTCCCTCCCTCCCTCCCTTTCATCCTCCCTCACATCCTCCCTCCCTCCCTTTCATCCTCCCTCACATCCTCCCTTCTTCCCTCCCTCCCTCCCTCCTTCCCTCCCTCCCTCCCTCAAAAATAAAACTATTTCAGTGGCCATCTTCAGAGACCGACATTCAATCCGAAAGTTGTGGACATACTAAAAACGAATGTCGACAAATGTTGCAACTTTTGGCGGTTGAGGACAATATTTGTGAACGAGATCACAACATACTTGGGTAAGCCATCTTTAAAGTTGGAATTTCTTTCTTAGCTTCGATCAGTATTTAACCATCAAGAAATAGTTTTACACTTTTAGGGAAAGTTAGTGTTTAAAAGCTTTTCTAATTAATTGCGAATTAGGTTACACTCCCGTATTCCCATTTTATTCTGCGAAACACGCAATTGTGTATTGGTTTAACCCTTCAGTTACTGGTTGTGAATATATACAAATATTTCAGAGTCTATGCGATACCCTGTGAACATGGACAACCGTCTGTGGTTCCCAACAGTAACCGACATAAGAAATATCGTAACGGTAAAAGGTCTAGAAAAAGATAGACTCGAGGCCATTATCGAAGAACTACGTCATGAAGGAAACTCGGTCCACTACGTCGATGAGCCGGACAAGGTTATTTAAATTTTTGATGAAGTCTCCTTGAAATTGTTGCCATGTATTGTATTCAGTGTAAATAAATATAAAATACTTTAATATTTTAGGATGGTTTTCAATTTTTGTAGTGATTGATGTGTAAATTTGTAAACATTCTTTAAGGAAAATCCTCGGAACTCGAAGATGCTTTTGGTCTACCAGAACCAGACGCAAAAGGATATACTTAAACAGTTTGGTACCGTCTTGTTTATGGACAGCACGCACAAGACAAATCATTACAACTTGCCACTGTTTTTGCTCGCCTGTAGAACACCCCAAGGATACCAGGTTATAATTGTGACTTTTTTAGTTGGTTTTTATAAGCAAGAGTCTGATTCACAGTATATGTCTTTTTTGTTTCGGTTAGAAATAGAATGATCAATGATAAAAGTTAATTATCAATTTAAACGTAATATTTGAAGGTGGCCCAAAAATAACTACCCACACGGTTCCTGTCCTATGAGCAGATTCTAACCAATTAGACCATTGATTGAGTGAAGAAATCACAGATTAAGTGCCGAGATCATGTATCCGCCAGATCTTAAAATGGTCATAACCCGGTTTAGTTGTAAACAACCAACTATTATTTTGGGGAAGCACTTCAATTATCAAACCACATGTGTCTGGAGTTCCTAACTCAAAACGTTCTCACTTTGTGGTGACAAAAGAGAAAAAGAGGGAGTGGTACGCCACTCCCTCTGTAATTGATGAAATTTTACGAATATTTCAGGAAATCTAAGTTTGACCCATATCTATACTCTCTGAAATTTGCAAGCACTTCTAATGCCAATTATGTGAGTTATTTAAGGGTTGCGTGTGGGTTGCTAATTTTGGGCCAGCCTGAAGTATTACCTATATATATAATATATATAGGTATAATTATCATGATTAATTTTACCCTGGCCTCAGGTTGTCGCTTTTTTCATAACGTGTTCTGAACACCCGAACGGTGAGGAGATCATAGCAGAAGCCCTGTCGGTCATAAAGGGGTGGAATCCGGGAATGTCCCCTACATACTGTATGACCGACCAAGACATTGCGGAGATCAACGCCATGAGGGCAATCTTTCAAGGAATTCGTCCCTTTTGGTGCGACTTCCATGTTAAACAGGCTTGGGACAAAAGAATTAAGTGCATCTTCAAGCTAAAAGACCTCGAAAAGAGTTAGTTTCCTACCACATTGATTTTCATTTAGGAAGTTTTGCAATTTATACGATTTATAACATGATATTTGATATTGCATTTAAGTGTTTATTGTGTGTTTTGGTACATAGAATTGTCATTCAAGTTAATTGTCATACTTTCTGCAGACGTTCCCCTGCACAGAGAATACGACAATGACAGAGGTATATGTTTTGATTTTGTTAGCATACGTGGGCAGGTTTCCATTTTGTTATCAGCGCTCACGATCGCTTAGTTAGCGCTTTTTAAAAAAAGCCGTTTTTAATCGATTATAAGCGGTTAAAAAAATCGCTTATAGTCGACTATAATTGATGTAGTAATTCAAAAAAGCGCTTTTGTTTCCAGTAGGATTGGCTATTACAAGTGGTGGAAAAGCGGTCGGCCAGATAAGCGATTCGTAGTCGTTTTTTTGAACCATTTATAAGCAATTATAAGCGCTTATAGTTAAAGCTATAAGTTGGTTGCAATTTAGCTGATTATAAAGCGCTAAATAAGCGATTATCAGCGCTGATAACAAAATTTCATTTGAGGAAACCTGCCCATATGTGTGCACTATGTTTTCTATGTTTTAATGATTTCAGCTAAATTACATTGTTTCCTCAAACCTGGATCATATATATTAGAGGCATTTGGACAGATCCACGGCTATATCTAACTTAAGTTTTATTTTCAGCGAAAGTTGAAGCGTTCGAATGCATGCTGTATTTAATGTACGCAGAGACCCCCAACATCCACCTTCCCGACACTCGAATCGACCAATATTTCGAGGAAAGATTATGGAAGGTGATGACCAGTGACCTCTGTCTACGTAATCCCACATTTAGTAGCTATGTCCTCTATTACGCAGATCGCAGAGAAGTAAGATTTTTTGTGAAATTCTTAATTCTTTCGTTGGCATCATACATTTTGAGTTTGTTAAAACTCGAATTGAATGACGAAATGAATGACGGCTGTACCGGGTACCCAGAACAAAAAAGAGGCTTGAATGTTGACAAGCAGATGTTCAATAACCTTAAAATATCTCTTTATAAATATATCTTCTCAGTATTGGGCTATGCCGTACAGAAATCTGGAAGCTCTTGCTGGGGTCAGAACAAACAATGGAATAGAGTCGCTTAACAATGTTTTGAAACACAGAGTGTTTAATGGCGTATCCGCCCATCGTTCCCTTCCTCAGCTGCTAGCCTCTCTGGTTTTTGACTTTATCCCAAACAGGCTGCAGACGTATAGACACAAGGTAAAATTTTAATAAACATAATGCTTACCAATGAGAATATGAGCAAACAATATCGATCGTCGAATTATAAACATATTTGATTTTCGGTTTTATTTCTTCGCTAGTTGTTTTATAGAATCAGTTCGCATGCATAAACCCATGAGCGCAAAGTTAGCCCAATAAGCCCATAGACAATAGTCATGTAGATATCAAGTTACAAAATTACAAAATAAAATTATTCATCAGATGATATCAGACTCCGTGAGTTATAAGAGGATCGTTTCACAGAACCATGTGTTACCATCATTCTTTAATGGTATCCCGTCTAAGAATCTCATCTTGGTGAAGGTTTATATTTATAATGTACAGCTTCTTTGTTTTCGGATATTTGACATTTTTCAACCCAAATGTATGTCACTACAAAGTTATTGTTCAGGATATGAACTTTGTAATTTTCAGGAAAGTTATTTTCGATCCTTCGAAAAAACTAAAGACGACATCAGGAAACTGGGTGACCAATATGTTGTCAGGACAAAGGATTCTGAAGGAAATCCCTTCGCGTACAAGGTAATTAATACTTAATAGACTAGGATTTGTTGCAACTTGTCTCCAATAATCTGATTTAGTCGTTATTGAGTCTCGCACTTTGATTATCTTTCAAGCAATTTCTACTTTTTTCTGAATAGAATCATTGATGACAGTTTCTGATAAAAGTAACAGAAACTGTAATTATTGAGCCTATTCAGAAACATCCAGAAATTTACTGAATGATAGTTTCACCATTAGCTGACCAATAACTATTGCAGACCACAGTTTATGAAGTAATTTACCATGAGCTAACATCATGGTCAGATACTAGAATCCTTTCTAAATTCCTTTCTAAACTTGCAAAAATCTTAGGTATCTCTATCGGAAGAAGTCAGGTGTGACTGCATTAAATTCCGTGGCACACCGACGTTACCGTGCAAACATGTGCTAGCGATTTTGAGAATATATGAAATTGACTGGACGCAACTCCCGACCACATTCAGGTAAAACTTTTTTTTGTTTAACATGATTGGCCTCACGATAAAGTCAATAGGTTATTTCCTGTCGGCGAACCCATGAACCATTTCGATAACCTGGGCAACCTTGTCGAGTTCAAAGTTTGGCCTTGAATTTAAATTGAAGCTATCATGATCAAGGTTCCATGATCAGGGTGAAATATTGACTGAGGACGTCCGCCAAAAATCGCAGATTTTCAGATCACCCCCTCCCCTGTCCGGGTGTGTCCGAACAGGGGACACACTGTTCTGGATTTTCAGAAATCAACCCCCCCCCCCCCCCCCCCCCCCCCGTGTCCGTATTTCAGGATTTGTCCGAAATTCCAAAACCACCCCACCTCCCTGACTTCATAAGTAAATAGTCTGGCCCTGGGACATTGCTCTCGAATTCAATCGAGATCAAAATGTGATGGTTATAACAAGTGTGCCCGCATCCGTTTACTTCATTGTTGTATCTCTGAACTGTAGTAAAACTTAGCCTCGTATTTAAACCCTAATTTGTAAGCTTTAAACCGAAGTTTTAGAACTTGATTCGGAACAGCGAATGTAAAAATTTCCGGATATATTCAATATTGTTGGTTGCTTGCTGAAACGGCTGCTGATCATGCATCAATCTTAGTGAATTAATTTCATCAGACGTCAATATTATTCTTTAATTTGCTAAAAATTGTTAACAGAAAATATAAAACTATTTTTAAAACTGTTTCTTCTCACTAGCTCACTAGCAATTTGTAACTTAAAGTTTTGGCTATCAGCTGTCATCCTATAAATACAAATTATTGTTAAAAGTTTACCAAGATTTTTTCAGACTAAGTCCTCATCTCAGCGTCGACAGCACTCTAGGTAGAAACGTTTCTACTGAGTTACCTCAGCAAGTTTATTTTGGCCCCGACCGTGACCATCAGCTGCCGGATGAAGATGAGGGATCATGCACTAATGAACCAATCGAAGTAATCGATCAATCGTGTTCTAGTGAGGAGGTACCAGGCCCCAGTACTGCAGATAAGGATCTTGACTTTAACAAGTCATTTAGCATCTTAAGTGACCTCAAGACTCAAATGTTCAGGTAATATTATATATTATAATTAGCATAAGCTCTCTAAGGGAAGAATTTTATTCCTGATTCCTCCTCGATCATTCAAAATATTGGTTCACTTAACAAAAATGTAATTTGATTGAATTAATGAGTCATTAACATAGTATCACTACAAAGAATCCTTATTTTAACTTAATTTGCTTCTATAAAGATCAATGTCTCAGACATAGCCTCATGAATTGAACTCGATTTCAATCATTGTGCTCACAATCATTGCAACAAATGGTTATCAATCAATCGAACCAATCATTTGATAATCAACCGAATGGATCAAAACCACAATAATCAGATACGCAACACCTTTCAAAATATATCTACAGGATTCCTGCATCTAAAAGGGGAGAACTCCTCAAACTTATGGAAGACACTGTTAGAGACCAGCTTATACCCTCGTAAGTCTTTAAAATTTAACTACTTCCTTCTGAATTCAGATGTCATATTCTAGCATTAATAATACTCTTAAAAAATCTTGAGAAAAGGCCCTAAGGTGTGAAAGTAACCTAAATCGGTATATTTTTGGGCTGCCAGACTTTGGGGCCGGAGTGATATGATCCACCATATACGTCATCAAGTAATTAACATGCAAGCTTGAAGCTTGTGGCGTATAATTAGTGATGTGATCCATGGATTGAATATAATTGACCTAGAAATGGGCTAGATCTGGGGTAGAGTTCATATGAGTTGGGTATGTCGTGTAGAAAGAACAAAGGTCGTACAGAATACTGCTGGAAGGAGTCTTTCCAACAGCAAGCCGATCCAGATGATAGTCTGTTGCTCCTTAGAGCAACATCTTCAAACATCCTCTGAGCCAAATACAACAATGTTTAAAATTGCTAAACAAGTTTGAGTAATAAATTATGATCATGAATTAACCAGTAATCGACCGGAATTGGCAATTTTGAGCTATCCCGGTCCCGGTCCCGGTCAAGTCACATTTTTCATCCCGGTCCCGGTCCCGGTAAATTGATAATCTCTTTGAATCTCAGTCCCGGTCAAGTCACATTTTGTATCCCGGTCCCGGTCAGGCCTGAAATCATGTCCCGGTCACCTCCTGGTCAGAATCAAGCACCTGTTGACATCCTCTGAAACCGTTGAGGAACTTGGAGAAGGTAGGCATGACTGTTGATAGAATGCGATACTACTACCTTCTATCACCCAATATTTATAATACCTAGAACACTAGATCGGCTCACTCCCCTTGCATGCCTTTGACACGTACGTCTCACATCCCTTGATACGAGAACCCCCCCTTTAGCAAGAGCTCCCGTCCCTTATGTGATCTACGAGTCGAGCAGTCAGATCATGTTTACTTCTTAATGTACAGCTATGATTTACAGAATTGACATGTGAACTCTACCCCAGATCTAGCACATTTCTATGTCAATTAAATTCAATCCATGGATCACATCACTAATTATACGTCACTAATTGGTGACGTGATCTGACCCCTCTTTGGGGGCCGGATCAGTTTCCGGTCCCAAAGTCTCCCAGTGTATTTTTGGACGCTGATTTCGAATCACTTCCCGTAGGGTAAAAACGCTTCCCTGGAAATTGATAGGCAAAAACCTGTTTTGGTCACGTGACATTATAGTTAAACACGAATTCGAATGTTTAGGGCTCGGGTTATAGGTTTAGGTCTATAGTTAGGGTCACGGATATAGCTTCAGGGTTATGGTTAGGATTTGGATTAGGGTTAATGTGAATTTTGAAACCGTTTTGTTCGACTGCAAAACCATTAAAACCAAATTCACGTGATAATGTTAAGGCAAGCGAATGAGTGAGAATATAGTAACAAATAGTCACAATATTACCAACGCATGTAGTCACTCACTAGTCACAGCACACAATTATACTAATAAACTGGTATAAACGAAACCGGCATATCCAAAGATTTTAAATCAATCTATTGAATAAATTTAAATATATCAATTTCTTTCAGGGTTCGGAAGCTAGGAGAAAATGCCCAAATCCGCCGAGACGATTTTGCAGCCACTTTACCAAAGCCAACGAAGAAAAAGCGGAAACTATTTCCGAAATACACTGGTCAACACAGCGATAGTGATTTCGAGTAAAAATTTATGACCATTCTGCCTTTATAATTAATATTATATCCATGATGCACTGTTATATTGAGCACAAAAAATATCTTTAATTTTGAAACTTTAGGATTTGCGATTCCGCTTTTTCCTCGTTTGATTCGGTAAAGAGAACAGAGAAGACAGAGAATTAACATTTTGTTGTTTACTATCGGATACGTGTTTGGCGCTCAGAATTAAATTGACTATATAATTCGGCCGGTTTTGATGAGCGAGTTCATGCTTCTGCCACGTGTTTTATTTTGCAATCCAACTGCAATAGAGAAATCCTCACTGAATTAGGCACTTATAGTTGCACTAATATAATAATAATATGATGCGATGGATAATTTCATTTAGAGAAATTTAGAGATTTTTAGATATTTAGTGATATTAAAGTTGTCACATAGGAGTTCACCCACACTTGCCATGCACAGATTAAAAGTTTTAATAAAGCTATCTTATACTTAAATATCGATCATGGTCGGTATTATATAGGTTTGAGGAAAATCGTATAATTACAGAATCTGAAGTATCAAAATATAATGATTGATTAGTGGTTTTGGTCAGTTACTGTTAATTGCTCCCGATATTGTTAATTTCATTCAGACTCTTTGAGTTCTATTTAACAACTGCAGTTATTTTATCACTTTTATAAGGCGATCAGCGATATATTTTGTTAATGATTTTTTTTTGCCTTCATTTATTTTATCAACTGTAGCGTTTATATTAAAGATTACCGATCTTTACATCTTTACATGCTGTTATTATAATTCTAACAGCTCATTGACGAGTCGTCATAAAATTTTGTTTTGATTCTTCAAACATGCAGCTAGCTGGTACAAGAACCAGATAACATTCTTGCGACGTAATTAATATAATTAATTGACATAATAAAATAATAAAATATGTTACACTGTATTTAAGTATATGTAATTGTAATATGCAACCTGGTCCTTGTGCCGAAAATTCAATTAGCTAATTACCGGCCATGCGTTGCATAAATTCCATATTAGGGCCCATTTCGGTCACAAAGCGGAGCTTAAATTGAGTTTATTGCACGCGCGGTTGACAAATCATGTGAAAAAACTATCCTGTCACAAACAATGCGCGTTATAGAGGTGACCAATGAAATCACGGCATTAAAAACACGTGATAGCGCGCTGGCGAGTGAATTAGTAAAATCCAATTTTCCTTACCTACCACCTACACCCTTTTGATCACTGATTGGTCACTGGTGATCAAAATTTCAGTCTGAGTCAATATGGCGAAATTTCGGTCGAGGGGATAAAACGTCAAAAAAGCTATTTTCAAACATGATCTTCCAAAATCTCTTTTTCATAGTTAAATCCGTGCATTGCATATAATTGGGGATGATGATTAATCACTCTACACTCGACTGTCACGTGACTTTTTCAACACGTTCTCTAGCTGGTCCTGAACGACTTTTCGAAATCCTAACCCTCTAATCTGATCCCAACCCTAACCCTAACCCAATCTTTAACAAAAACATACACTGAAACCCTAACCCTAACGAGAAATTAGACTAACTTCCTTATATGGTCATATCACGTGATCGAGACAGTTTTTCGCCAATATCTCGTCAGGGGAGCATTTTAACCCTATGTCATGGGGGGTGATTCGGAATCAGCGTCCGAAAATACATCGATTGACATTGGTTTCAACTGTCGGGGGCCCTTTTTTAACAGTCTCGAAGATCGACTGTAGAGTGATTTAGCACGCTCGTATAATTGGTGCAGCAAATAATTTTTTTAATTTTGATGATTTTCCGCGTATCAAAGCTTTCTTCGGGAATAAAACTTTTAATACCTCAATCGTGTCTTTCACCTGTAGGCTGTATTATCCCCCGGCCGGGGGCAATTAGATTTAAATTGTTTATTGTTAATGGACTAGTCTGGCACTTCGTAGCACTTGCCTCGGGCCGCTTTCGAGAAAAAAGTGGCGCGCGCTATACTCCGAAAAAATTTAGAAAAGTAACATCTGTCAAAATTTAAACTGTCCAATTCTGTGTACATTTGTAAATTGTAAATGCTGATTTTAATTTTAATGGTAAATATATTTATAGTTAAGGTGCACAAATTTGGACTTCAAATTTTTATATTATCTTCACGATTACTGATTACTGATTACTTTACGCCACTGAATGAAACAAATACGTTTTATTTTTCATTCCTTTAATCATAAATAAATTAATAAGAGCTTAAACCACAAATTAGTTAAAACTTTATTTGGTAGTTAGTATTTTTATTATGGAAAGTGGCTGAATTTAGTATAGTTAGACAAGGTCAGTTTCTCTATTGTTAGTTAGGGCAAGAATTGCTGTTTATGGGTCAATCTGTGAACAAATTCGTAACAAAGGTTTGTCTACAGGAATGTGTTGTCCATAGTCCCAGGAACCACAAAAAACCCGTCCAGCTGAAACTTTTGGGCAAAAATTTTTATAGTAATTTTTCTCCAGGAACCCATACGCCCCACCCCTAATATTGGTTATTCGGCTCCCGAAGGTCTTGAGATCTCCATAGGGGGTGCAAAATGACCGCAATGGCCACATTATGGCAGGCGAATGATAGTTTTAGAACGATTGGAGCTTTATTTTTCGAAATAAATGGAATTTTTCGAAATTTTTCTCAATTTTATTGAAATTTCGAAAAAAATACACCAAATTATTTTTAACGCTTATTTCAAATCTATTTAAAAACTCATCAAGGGAGCATCAACATGGCTTTCAGCATTACCTCTAAAGGACCTCAACTATGTTCTAAACAAGCAAGAGTTCCAAGACAGCATACGCCTACGCTATGGATGGAAGATCCAAGGAGTGCCCTCTAAATGTGCTTGCGGACATGCAAACAGTGTCTACCACTCCCTTGATTGTAAATTAGGTGGATACGTTTGCATGCGCCACAATGCCATTAGAGACACTGCAGCTTTCTTCCTTCAAGAAGCAAAGTGTAAGGATGTAAGGATAGAACCTGCACTCCTACCTGTCCAACCAACTTCATTCTCCAGGAAGACCAACACCCAGGATGAAGCCCGTCTGGACGTAGCAGCTGTTGGACTGTATGCACCATTCGAAAGAACATTCTTTGACATCAGGGTCACTCATCCTAATTGCGACTCCAATACATTTAAGCCACTAGATAAAATCTACAGTGCGCATGAGAAAGAGAAGAAAGATCTATATGAGGAGAGAGTACTTCAGTCAGAGAAAGGGTCCTTTGTCCCACTAGTTTTTACAACATCCGGAGGTATGGGCCCACTCTGCACTGTGTTTGTAGATCGTATTTCTGAAAGGATAGCTGACCACAATAAAGAAGCTAAGAGCCAGGTCAAAAATCACATCAGAACACGATTCAGGTTTGATCTGCTACGAAGCACACTCATAGCACTCAGGGGAATCAGAGGAAGACAAATAGCCCAGCACCTTGGACTGGTTGACGTATCCTTCAATCTCATTCCTCAGAAGACGAGCTTTGAGGTCTCTTAAGTTTGTTTATGTAAATTTTATAGACAATTTATTGTAGCTATTAAAGGGGATGTACGGATAAAGTACCAAACCTTATTGTGTATATTTGGTTGCAATTCCGGTAAATGATGAAACATGTCTCTTCTGAGAGATTTAAAAACTCATCTACAAATAACAAATACAGTTAATCTAAAATGTGTATTCTCAGTAAATACCAAGACAATTATTGATACACAGTTAATATTAATCAAAATTCGCTTGTTCTTCAGGTTCATCATGTCTAATGTTTGTGCAGTTCATACCATGGCATCGTCCACAAGCTGGCAAACAATTAAAGCCATATTTTCTACATGAACGTCTGAAAGTCAAACAGGCCTATTCCACATCGACAGAACAGTTACAACATATAAGGTTCAAAATAGACTCTGGAGCAATTATAGCTTTTGTTGCAACTGGTTCGTAAGTGCCACCAGGAGCCAATTTCCAGCCGTAGTCAAGGGGATTCAGACTGTCAGCGTTAAGCATGACCCAGTTATAGTACTGTAAGTAAGCTCTAAGGATGTGCTCCGTTGCTGAAGCTATTGTTGGAGGTACCCTATTCGGATTGAGACTCTTTTTCGCTACCATCCTATTGTATGCTAGGAATCTCAAAGCAGAAAGAGTCTTTTTCTTGTCACCATAAATGTACTGCAAAAAACAGAGGCCTGCCTCAATAATCTTTTCTTTTGATTCTCTCACCGAAAGTAATGTTGCCAACTGACCTTGCTCATTAAAGGTGAGAGCTTTCTTTAGCACTTTAACCTTGCTAAAACCAAACAGTCCACTGACGCTATCACAAATACTATGAATTAGAAGAAGTATCTCCTTTTCTTTATGATCTAGATGACTTGATATTTCTTTGATTGAATATGTACCCTTCTTCGTTGTTAGATAAATATCATTGTGATGGTCACTGTTGAAATGATGTACTAATAGACTTGAACTATATCGGTATCCCCTGCTTTCAATTCAACATCGCCAAGGAATGACATTTCCAATGTTTTCTTTGCAATTAAAGTATCAGCATCGTTACAAGCTCTGATCACTTCAATACCATTTACAGTAAAAATGCTTGAGATAAGGTCGATCAGTTCTTTTTTGTTATTTTTGTTGCTCAGAAATGTTGTTTTGGTGACAGTACAAAAGGTGGATTTCTTTACAGCAATATTAGCACAGAACGCTTTAACTCTCCTCTTGTGCTCGTGATCTTTAGTAGAAGGCTCATATTCATCAAAAATCACAGTAACTTCCCTATTTTTAGGGATAAGCTTCAAGTACTCCATTGCTTAGTTGGTGAATTAGCCAACCTCCATCAATGACTAGTGGGATCGTGAAGCTGCAAGATTTAAGTGTAGATTGGTTTATACCAAGAGCAGCCTTATTAGATTTCCTCATCATCTGATATTGATCAAATAAGCTCATCGGCACCACAGTTAACTCGTATGTTAGGCATTCCTCTATTGAAGTCTCTCTATCAGCAACCAAGACTTAACGGTTAAAACACTTCAACGGATCGACTGCAACGCTTTTATTATTCACTTTAACCTGCTTTCTTAGTTGTGTCAAGTTCTTTGCTTTACCTTTGATACTTATCTTATCGATGAATGTCAACCCATCTAGCTCACGTTGAAGGACAGCCCCAACGGCCAAACATTCCTCGGGATTCACCTCATCGTTCCCAGGCTGTGATATAAGACCAGTCGAAAAAGATATTAACTTAGTCTTATCTTCGGATTCTGTAAAGTCGACAGTAACTTTAAACCAAGTTAATAATTTTCCAAATACATCACAGTTTTTCTTGATTGATGACTTGGTAAGATCTGCATCTGAGTGGATGGCAGCTTTAGTTGGTACTCCTCGCTTCGATGAATTAGCTAATGAATCTCTAAAAGACTGATTTATTAAAGCCATCTGATTCAGGGTGGCCACCCATAACTTGTGAGCGGACTCACGATTACGCATCCTTCCACTTGTTAATCCACCACTAAATTTAGCTGCCCTCATAAGACTCTGCTCTATGGAGAGGTCAGTCCACACCCCGGCCCACTCGTGGTTGTTGTAACAAACCGTGTGAAGCCCAGTTACTTTAAAGGTCTTTAAAAGTGCCTCATACTTGACTTTAAAAATAGCATCCTGCTCCAAATACAGTCTTAAAGCTTTTGCATATTTATATTTTTAACTTGGGGTGTAAATATTTTTAGGGTTTTTATTTTTTAAATTTCAGATCTTTCATACTATTTGTTACTAAAATGCTCATTGTAGCCTATAATATTTAGATTTTCATCATCATCATCATACTGTCCCCTTCCAGCTGCTGCAAAGTAGGGCAGCATCAAAGCTACTGCTGATAAATGCATATTGTAGTCGTGCAACCTCTCTGCTCTTATGAAGTCCTTTACTAGTGTTATCATGTTGTGGTAAGTAACCCATAGAGCTGCTGTTCTACTGTTGGAAAAAAGGTTCTTTAGAAGCAGAGTTATTCTCTCTGATAGATCCTGAATAGATTTAGTCTTAAAGTTAACACCTACATTTTCGTTCACACATTTGTTGATGTAACCTTCCAAGTCTACTAGTTCATCGTCGTAAACTTCTTCCTCTATAATGAAACAACAAAGAGCGGCGTCGATCAGAAAGTGGGCTCTCAACGCTTTATAGTAAGATCCTCCATCCGATATATGCGTGACGTCTCCAGGATACACGAGTTTGATGAGCTCCTCTAAACCCGAGTCTGCCATTATATAGCCTATGCAGCCAAGAAAACTCGTGAGAGTGTGGAAGCCCCCAACCCTGACCACAATAGGCATCCCAGTTTCCAGTACTATTCAGGTGGCCTTAATCCACAATGGCAAATCGAATGTGATTATCATCGGCTCACTGTAGGATAACTTAAGACATTCAACCAGAGTAGTATGTACCGTCGAATAGCTGTCTGGGGGTTGGTCAATAATCTGTTGTTTGTTAGTTAACCTTGATATCCCGAGTAAGATTTGAAATAAGCGTTCAAAATAATTTGGTGTATTTTTTTCGAAATTTCAATAAAATTGAGAAAAATTTCGAAAAATTCCATTTATTTCGAAAAATAAAGCCCCAATCGTTCTGAAACTATCATTCGCCTGCCATAATGTGGCCATTGCGGTCATTTTGCACCCCCTATGGAGATATCAAGACCTCCGGGAGCCGAATAACCAATATTAGGGGTGGGGCGTATGGGTTCCTGGAGAAAAATTACTATAAAAATTTTTGCCCAAAAGTTTCAGCTGGACGGGTTTTTTTTGTGGTTCCTGGGACTATGGACAACACATTCGAGTAGACAAACCTTTGTTACGAATTTGTTCACAGAAAAATCAACTCTTGCCCTAACTATGTCCTGGAAAAATGTCTACTTTACAGTAGGCAATGCTGAGTGGCAGGAACGAGGGACCAAAATGCTTGGGGCTAACAATGGTCCATTTACAAACCACTTCAGACATGGCAATGATGTCATTTATGCTTAATTCGTCTGATTCGTCTATTTTTCCGATTTTGCTGACTGTTTCTTTAGATCTGTTTCGGTCTTTCGTGGCAGTTCCCACATCTGCTGGTTGAGAATGCTCAACATAACATACATGATGCTTGACTGCTTTATTGACCCGGGCAGGACCCGGGGGCAGACATCCCAACACCAGTGCGTTGGGACATAGTGTTGGTCTTTTTTTTTTTTTTTTTCTTTTTTTTTAGGTCGAGGTGTTAAATGACTCTAAGTTGACCAATTAAAACCAGTAATTGTCGTATGTACAAAACCTGTAAAACACAATACTTTATTACATAATAGAATAACTTTACAACCAAATTAAACCAATTCCAAATATATACCTAATAACTAAACATTGTAAATACTTACCGATTGGACGGTAGTGTGCTGCCAATGTTCCACTCCTCCCCAGTCCAATCGGTTATCCTTCTTTGGTAGTCATTGCTAGAAAGGGTAAACACGGTTAGAAGTATTCTGTCACGAAAGAGAGAGAAAGGTGTGAACAGTAATAACATTCCCCGGTTTTCCTTTTCCAGCAATGCTAGCCCCAATTTCTCTCAAGATTGCACTACTAAATTACACAAAAATACGCTCGAAGATCCCGTCTGAGCTACATCTGTCTTCAGATTATCACCCGCAGTGACCTATCTAGACATATCCATAAAATAACTGCCACACTCTCGAAATGTTTCCAATAATTACGCTCAACAACCCCGTTGGAGCTACCGCTGTCTTCTGATTATCACCCGCAGTGACCTATCGAGACTAAAACATTCGAAGTTTATTACCAAGAAAACATAATACATCATATTAAAATTATCTTCAAACCCCGCTAAAATACAAAACGCCACGCAACCAGCGCACAGTGGGGCTCCATGTTGACATTTAGCCTAAAAACGAGTTTTCCTAATGTTTTAGATTGTTGTAAATTCTGATAGAGAATAAATAACCGGATTCAATGCTTTTTAAATTAGCTCAATATCTCGGTTGGGTCAAAATTTACAACCATTTGAAAAGCGCGCCTGAAAATAACCTGCCTGCACATGCCCAGAAACTCAATTTCACTGCCATTTTTGAGTCAGGCTGAGGTTCCTTTTGTTTTCAATGTTTTTCAACTTTTGATTGATTGAACATGGATATAAGCATTCTTAGTACTGTTTAAGAAGAAAAAACCATGATTTCGGTCAATTTTGGATTTTTGGTAGCTAAAATTAGAATATTTTTCAAAAATAGGCCTTAAAATTTCATTCGCTGACCACAAATGGGTGGTAAAGTTATAAATGGCCCCATATGGCCCGGGTTTCATTATGTTTTCTACGTTTTCCCATAATTTTTCTAGCAGAACCCAGAAGATTTGGCTTCGGAACGCTTCGGAAAAAAAATTATGACCCATTTTTGGTACGAGCCTGAGGTGAAAAATTGCGTCAAAATAGCGCGAAAAATGAAAACTGATAGATTAAAAACTGATTTTTTCATTTATTTCATAGCTTTTTGGTGCACACTTCGATATTTTATGCTAATACCAGCAAAGTTCAATTGGAATAAGCAATATTTGGATGGAAAAATAGTGCATATGAGCCAAAAATAGCCAAAATCTGGCAATTTGAGCTCGGAAAATCCAGGGGCAACTCTGATTTCATAGGATTTTTCTTATGTTTTTGTCATATTGCATAGTTTTTATGGTTCTCCTTTCTGAAATACCCTTAAACAATCACATCAGCATGATTGATGACCATTTCCATACGAAAAAGCAGAAAAATGGGACAGAAACTGCTTAAAATTCGATGAAATCTTAAAACTGCTAGTCAAAAAAGATGCTTTTTGTGTGACAGAAAGTGCCAAATTTTCGAAAAAATTGATTTTTTGCCCAAAAAAGTAGTGAAAGTTGTCCAATTTCACTGAAATAAGTCATAATTGACGATTTAATCCAAATTGACACCACCAAGATGTGGCCAGAGGCATAAAAGGGCAAAAAAACCAAATGTCATCATGCCCTTTACGCGAGCCCCACTGTGCAGCGCGCATTTTCAAATGCTGCTACATTGGTACTTTTTATACCCACGCGCACAAAATAACTAGCAATCTAGAAATCCTTTGTTCGATTTTAAAAACTCACGGAGGTTTAAAAATCTAGCTCAAAAACTAAGAGCGTCTCATAAAACGAATAAAAATTTTAAATAAATGCTAACAGAACAAACTCAGCAAAGTGGATTAGTTACCTAAATTAGCTACAAACATATTATATACGCAGATATATTATTATGTTTACCTGCGACCACACTCTTTTGCAAATTAAAATGAAATATACAAACTTAAAATAAAAACTGACGAGACGAAATAATATATACTCCTGACATTGCTCAGCAAATAACTCGTAAAAAACACGATTCTACGAATCATGGAACTGAATAAACATACTGAAAAATTTGCTTAATCTTATAACAGACATAAAATTGGTCCTAAACAAGTATTCTATTTAAAATCATAGAACCCGACAACAAATTGTGATAACAAACATACCACTGAAACAAACTCACAAAACCTAAAATAAATACATCGACTCTAGACTCAAAAACTTAAGACTCAAACACTCAACAACACACGAACAGCTTATGACCGATGACTATCTTTTGAGATATTCGTCCAAGTGAAAGTATCCTGTTTCAAGAATCTTTGCCAAATCTCCACTGGAGACACCCTTCTTTGTTAAACAGTCAGCCAACATTTTTGGTGTAGGAACCCATCTGAACTCTCCTATTACCCCTTTATGTAAGTTTTCCTGCAGAACGGCTATATCAAGGACTAATCTTTTATCTTGACACAAACTGCTGGAGTGTACATTATCATAAAGTTGTTTTGAATCAATCAAGACAACAATCGGGATCACTTCATTATGCGGATCTCTGAACAACATTTCTGACAACACTTGTCTTATATAGATCGCTGCAGCTGTGCCAGAAGTACAGCTAAGTGTTTCAGCAGCGAATATAGAGTGCACGACTCTCTTAACTTTATTGCTTGACCACGCTATCAGGTTTGCTACATTTCCATCTGTAAGGAAAATAATGTAACCACTAGCACTATGCTTGGTTTCGGAGATGTTGCCCAAGCTTGCATCTGTGAAGCACAAGAGGTGTAAGTTTCCTTTCTCAATATCTAATTTTCTATAGACTACTCTTTTTGGCCCGTCAGCCAATTTCTTTGTTACCTTATTTAAACTTTTAAGGTGTTTAACTTTCTTGGTACTGTAAGTGGAATGTTCCAGAGTGTCAAAGGATAAATCAGGTCTGGTTTGAGAGCTCAACCACAAAAGTTTTCCCAATAGCTTTTGATATTCTACTAATTCCTCCTCCGTGAGGTCACTCTCTGCTTCCGTACATCTGCTACTAGCTATATCCACTGGTCTTATAGCTAATGCGTAATCTCTTTGATCGACGTATATGTCTTTTTCATTCTGCACCACTTTCCACCCAAGATAGGTGAATACTCCCGTATAACTTCTGCTGATTTTGAACGTACTGTAGATTGATTTTATTACAGTGTTCTTGAATCGGGTTGTTCCACAGTGCAGTATATCATCAACGTGTGTAACCATCACTCCTTGCAATCTGTTGTTCTCGTAATATCTAAACAAAGATTTATCTAACTTTGAGATCTCACAGCTAGAAGTCTCAGTCAGATGTTCCTTAATAGTAACGTACCATCTTCTTGCACTGTCACCAAGTCCGTATAGCGGTTTAAGTAATTTCCAGATTACTCCTCGCTTCCTTATATCACGGGGAGGTTTAACAAATACGTCTCTCATAGTTCCTTTAGCTTGTAGAAAAGCACTGGTTACATCTAAAGTGTCAACAGTCCAATTATATGAAGCTGCTAGTGAAAATAACAGTCTAATAACTACCTTAGTTACCGTAGGAGAGTCTTTCCTCATGACACAATTCTCCTCGAAACCTCTAGCAACCAGTCTTGCTTTAACTTGCTCATCGTTTTCTCCCTTAGTAGTTACTACCCACCTTGATGATACATGACTTTGTCCCGTATCTTTAGTTTCTTGGTATACTCCGAATTCTGACAGTCTTTTCAGTTCCTGTTCCTTAGCAACGTCTATCTTCTTTGAGTCCTGTATTCCGATTGCGAAGATATAAGGCTCAGCATCTTCTTGCGTCAATAGTACAGTTGTATTCCTTTGATTACCTTCTTGTTTCTCAACATGATGCTTTTCCAAATCTACTATTATTGGCTCTTCCACTAGATCCTGTTCGATTTGAAATGAATTTCTCGAACATTCTGACGTCTTGTCAGCTCTCTTCTCGATCATTCCGTATTTCCAAGGTTCCTCATCCTCAGATCTAAAACGTATCACATCTCCTCTAATCAGTCGGATTTTTGTAGAATCCCCAGATATACTATTCCAGATTGAGTTGTCTGTTTCTGTATTAGCTTCATCTACCTCCGTCGAGGTTTCCGTTTCTGTGGTTTCAGCAGAGACATCTGTTATAGAAGA